AAGAATCCACCTGCCACGGCAGGAGACACAGGAGACTCGGGTTCGATCTCTGGGTTGGGAAGATCCCCTGGAGGAGGAAATGGCAACCCACTCCAGTATTCTTGCCTGGAAAATTCCATGGACAGAGGAGCTGGGTGGGTTACAGTCTACGGTGTGGCAAAGAGTTGGACACAAGTGAGCGTGCACAAACACCCGTGACTCAACCAAGGACTAACTGGAGGATGCAGGGTTTAGGTGCATGGGTCTCCAATAGAAATTCTCAAACCCTGAGGCGTGACTGGAAAGATATGTAAAATATAGAGTCACAGGCCCATTCTCCCTACTTTGGATTCAGAAGGATGCTGTACTTGTTTTCTAGGGTGGCTGTAACATGGTACCCCAACCTGGATAGTTTATAACAGAAATGTATTGTCTCACAGTCTGGAGGCCAGAAGTCTGAAGTCAAGATGTCAGCTGGGTTAGCTCCTTCTGGAGGGGTTGATGGAGAACCTGTACCAGGGCCCCTCTGGCTTCTGGTGGTGGTGGGTCATCCTTCTCATCCCTTGGTTTGTAGATGCATCACTCCAATCCCAGCCTCCATCTTCACACGGTCTTCTCCATGTGTCTGTGTCTCTTATCTTCTTATTAGGACACCACTCATATTGGATTAATGAGCTCCCCTGGTGGCTCAGTGGTAAGGAATCCATTTGCCAATGCAGGAGACGTAGGTTCGATCCCTGAGTCAGGAAGATCCCCTGGAGAAGGAAATGGCAACCCACTCCAGTATTCTTGGCTGCGAAATCCCATGGACAGAAGAGCCTGGCGGGCTGCAGTCCACGGAGTCACAAAGAGTCGGACACAGCTGACGGGCTGAACATGCATGCATGCATTTCGGATTAAGAGTCCTCTGTTTCAGTACGATTTCATCTCAGCTAATTATATCTGCAACAACCCTATTTCCAAGGGTTGGAAATAAGGTCATATTTTGAGGTCCTGGTGGCTAGAACTTCAGCATATCTTTTGGGAGGTCATAGTTCATCCTGTTTAACAAAGGCAGCAACTCTAAATGCTAACGACTCCCACCCCAGGAGATTCTGATAGGAACCCCTGTGACCATGGCACTTCCTTCCAGTTCATCTTTGCAGTGCCCTCTGCAGAGACAAGGGCCTCCCCTGTGGCTCAGTGGTAAAGAATCCGCCTGCAGTGCATGAGACACTGGAGACACGGGTTCGATCCCTGGGTTGGGAAGATCCCCTGGAGGAGGGCATGGCAACCCACTCCAGTATTCGTGCCTGGAGAATCCCATGGACAGAGGAGCCTGGTGGGCTAACACCCATGCGGTTGCAGAGTCGGAAATGACTGAAGCAACTGTGCAGACACACAAGACACTGTGCAGCCAAGGTCTGTAATGACCGCACACGGAGGAGGAGTTGTGTTTTGGGTGATGGCCAGGCCTGCAGAGACCGAAAGGAGAAGGATCTGCTGGAGGAGGCAAGGAGGGGGCAGCGAGGTCCCAGAGGAGCACGAAGGGAAGCTTGGCTCGTGTCTCAGTGTCCCCTCTCGGCATCCCACTGGCCACGTGGCGGATGTTGGAAAGAAGGTACTTAATTTTCCAGCTTCTCCAGTGTCAGCAGGACAGGTGCTTCATAAACAGGATTGCAGAAAGGAGTGCAGGATGCACAGTGACTACCTCCTTAATATAAAAGAGATTTCTGGAAACCCCTTTCACTCATGCTCCTAGAGGTCTACAGAATCATGTTATTCTCCAAGTGTGATACAAATGCATCTACAAAGAGGATTGTTCAAAATATCTATGTCACCTTAATTCCTAATAGGTAAATTCTACAAACATCCCAAACGTCCACACACAAAAAATGGATAAACTATGTGTGCACTATTTATATGATGAGAAACAATTCAGCAATGAAAGAAATGAACTGATCATAAAAAAGGAAGTCCTTGCTTTGGGGCAGATCATGCCTCGTGAACTGACTTCTCACAGGCACTTTCAGTTCAGTTAAGTCATTCAGTCATGTCCGACTCTTTGTGACCCCATGGACTGCAACACGCCAGGCTTCTCTGTCCATCACCAACTCCCAGAGTCTACTTAGACTCATGTCCATTGAGTTGGTGATGCCATCCAACCATCTCACCCTCTGTCTTCCCCTTCTCCTCCCACCTTCAATCTTTCCCAGCATCAGGGTCTTTTCAAATGACTCAGTTCTTTGCATTGGGTGGCCAAAATATTGGAGTTTCAGCTTCAGCATTAGTCCTTCCAATGAATATTCAGGACTGATTTCCTTTAGGATGGACTGGTTGGATCTCTTTGCTGTCCAAGGGACTCTTAAGAGTCTTCTCCAACACCATAGTTCAGAAGCATCAATTCTTTGGCGCTCAGCTTTCTTTATAGTCCAACTCTCACATCCATACATGACTGCTGGAAAAACCATAGCTTTGACTAGATGGACCTTTGTTGGCAAAAGTATGTCTCTGTTTTTTAATACGCTGTCTAGGTTGGTCTTAACTTTTTTTCCAAGGAGCAAGCATCTTTTAATTTCATGGCTGCAGTCGCCATCTGCAGTGATTTTGGAGCCCCCCAAAATAAAGTCTGTCACTGTTTCCATTGTTTCCCCTTTAGCAGAAGAGAAATTGCAGCAGGGTGGTTATGGGTGGATGTAATGTGGGTCCTTTCCCGGGTACATCATGGAGCAGGGATGTGGTTTGACATTGAGGGGTTGGCAAGATACAGGACAGCATCCTCATGGGGAGAGGCTGGGGGAAAGATGCTGCTCCCAGTACACCTGCCCTGACAGGTAGCCTATTAGACTCAGGGCCACTGGGGAGCAGAGACGCAGGGACGAAATAACAGAAACCTCGGTCAAACCCACGTGCATCTCCCCTGTTGGGCCATCTTCCCTGCCTCCCGCTTTCACATACACTCATCCTGACCACCCCCATCTGGAAGACAACTTCTACCCTCCATCTGTATTTGCCAACTCCTGTTAATGGTGCCAGCCTCACTTCAAACCCATGACCGCAACTCTCATAGGGCCTCAGTATAGCCGGGTAATCTTACTACATTCACTTTTCCACGTGAGAAAGAACATCTGATTGGTCAAAGCCACTATATAGTTGGGTTTCTGCTGAAAACAGCCAGATGCCACCTGACAATGCAAGGAGGGATATCTCATTTTCATTTTCTTTTTAAGGGAAACAACTTGAGTTCTTCAGATTCCAGACTGAAGCATCTTCTGACACACAGTGCCACATACAGTGTGACTGCTATCCACTCAGGTCTGTCACCCCTCGGCATTTTCACAGGCTCCCATTTGCCTCCCAGGCACTCTCTGAGGATGCTACAGTCCCTGCCTAAACCACTGGAGGACCCTAGGCAAGGCTGCCTGGAGCTCATTCTCACTGTGGTCCAAAGTGCCCAAGCTGGTTTGAGCAGAAGTTCCCAGGACTGACTGTCCATGGTGGGGAAGGAACCAGGAGCCTCAGAGCAGGCAGGACCACAAGGAAAATGTGATGGGCTCTGAAACCGCTTATAATCCTAGCCCTTGACTGCTGCAAGTTTCTTCCCATCCTGCTGGGACCAAGGACATGATCAGTGGGTGAGGCTGTCTGAGTGATGAGTGATGTTGATGAGTGAGTGATGTTGTCTGGCTTGGTGTGTGTTTGTGTGTCTACTAGCTTAGAGCTGCAGCTGCCCAGGACAAAGGACAGGCTGCTGCTTCCTTCACCTCCCCCAGTGCCCACTGGGAATGGGACCCTGCCCAGCCCATCAACCCAAACAGCCCTCCCCAGGACCCTCAACCCTGCTGCACCTCCCGCCCACCCCCTAGCACGCTCCAGGAATTCAAGCTTCTAATCCAGCTGCAGGTGCCCATGTCTGCCAGGCCACCTTGTTTCTCTGTGTATTGTCCTCACTCATGGAGCTCCACGCTCTGCCCTCCTCGCCCATCAGGACACTGCCAGGCATGGCACCTCCAGGAGCTTCCCTGATACCCACGCTGAGCTATGCGCCTGCTCTGGAAGCCGTGCCTGGGCTGCCTTCTCCCACAGCGTGTGGACCCTCTGTGGCTGCCACCTGCGAGAAGCCAAAAGTGGTGGAACACGGGTGAACGCATAAAGGGTCAACCGGGCACGTGTCCATCTGGCCCTCTTGGAGGGAGGGAAGCGGATCTGATTGTCTCTGCAAGCCCGAGGCCTGGGTGAGTAACTAGATAAATGGGGCTATGTGCTGTGAGTCCTGCCTGCAGGGCCTCAACTCCCGCCGTGTGAGCCCACGAACCCCGGGGTCTCTCTCTGAGTCATCAGGCACTGGTAGATGGACCCCCAGATGGTAACATCGGTGGGACCAAGCCTGAGCCTCCACTTCCTTGGCTGCCGTGAGGGCAGTCATGTGATCAGGGCAGTCATGTGATCAGGTCAGCCCCTCCCAGCTTACCATCATCCTGTCTCCTGCCAGTCCACGATGCTGGGATCCTAGTACAGCCCACACCACGTTACCCCATCAAATAATGACAATTGCAACAACAATAATAACAGTCATCCTTTTCCTGAATTACTCCTACCACGCCAGGCCGAGAATCAACCTGACAACAACCACATGGCGAGAGCGTGATTTCCACTTTGTCATTGCTGACAATGAGGCTCCGTGATGTTAAGTGACTTGCCCCAGGTCACTCTGGCAGCAGCAGACCCAGGACTTGATCTCAGGCAATTTTGCTCCAGAACTTGGGCGTGTAGCCGTCTGCTGGCCTGCTCCTCTGTGCCAGTATCCTGTGTGCTATCAGTCCTGCTGTGGTCACCCCATTTCACATGAAAACCCCCGAGGCCCAGAGAGGTGAAGTTGAAGCCTTGCTTGGGCCAGACGGCAGAGGCAGGATTAGAATAATGGGGTCTACCTGCTGGTTCCCTTCCAGCTAGCTTCATGGCATCCAGGGGCCCCGATCCCCCAGGGAGACCATCTGTCCCTTGAAAGAGCTCTGCCCAGTGGATCCTGGTAGCAGACTTACTTCTCTCTGTTGAATACAATGAATTCCTTCCGCACGGTCTCCAAGCACTGCTGGAGGTGTCCATTCTGTCAAAGAGCACAAAGAGGGGACCGTAAGTGACGAAGCATCCTCCCAGGAGTGAGGACGACCAGACAGTGGTCTAAATGGGATGCTTGGGGATGGGGACAAGCTAAGCTGCTGGAACAGCCCTGACTATACAGGCGGTAGTGTCATGGGGAGGTGAGGGCTGACAGAAGATGCTTTTCTACATTTTAAGCCATTAAATGCAATGTCAAAGTCATGTTAAAATGGGTTATGAATTGAGGTTTTTTTTTTTTACATTTTGGCCACATGGCATGTGAGATCTTAGTTCCCCAACCAGGGATCAAACCTGCATCTCTCTGTGGTGGAAATGCAAAGTCTTAACCACTAGACCACCAGGGAAGTCTCTGGAATATGAACTGAAAATCACGACCCTGGTTTCCTGATCACTTGAATGTTCTTGAGGCCTGATTAAGCAGCATGGTGGTGGAGGGGGATTCAAGGCCATCATGCAAGTGTTCATTCTCCTCAGGAACAGGTACTAAGGACCACAGTCTCACAAATGCTCTGTAATACACGTCTCAGGGCTACCTGGATGCAGGATGGACATGTACGTGTCTGCAGGACCCCTACCCCCATGAGAACACCCACCCAGGCCTCCGTTGGCCAACTTCTGCATTAGTCCCAGCACACAGCCTAGGACCCACAATACTTTTAGGGGCTACAGAGATGTCTTTTCAAATAAGCTGAAAAGAATGAACTTTTAACACTGAATGCTATATTTTTCTTCATACCAATATAATCATAAATTATAATGTTTAATATATTTTGAGGGAGGAAGGATAAATTGTGGGGTGAACTGTGTCCCCCAAAAAGATGTGTTATAGAAACAGCCTAAATGTCCATTGGCAGATGAATGGATAAAGAAGATGTGGTACATTTATACAATGGAATACTACTCAGCCATAAAAAGAATGGCATAATCCCATTGGCAGCAACATGGATGGACCCAGAGATTATCATACTGGGTGAAGTAAGTCAGAAAGAGAAAGACAAATTCCATGTGATATTACTTTGCTGTTGTAGTCAGTCATGACAGACTTTTGCAACCCCATGGACTACAGACTGCCAGCCTCCTCTGTCCATGGGATTCTCTGGGCAAGAATACTGGAGTGGGTTGCCATTCCCTTCTCCAGGGGATTGTTCCGACCCAGGGATCAATCCCGAGTCTCCTACATTGCAGGCAGTTTCTTTACTGCTGAGCCACCAGGGAAGTCCCTGATATTACTTAAGTGGAATCCAAAATATGATACAAATGAACTTCCTTATGAAAAAGAAACAGACTCACAAGACATAGAGAACAGACCTGTGATTGCTAAGAGGGGTGGAGGTCAGGAAGGGAAGGATTCGGAGGCTAGGATTAGCAGATGCAAATTATTAAATATAGAATGGATAAACCACACATTTCTGTTGTATAGCACAGCAGGAACTATATTCAATATCCTGTGATAAATTGCAATGGAAAAGAATACAGAAAAGAATGTATATATTCTTGTAACTGCATCACTCAGCTGTAGGGCGGACATTAACACAACATGGTGAATCACTATACTTCAATAAAAATAAATAAATTGAAAAAGACATGTTGAAGTCCTAACACCATGTACGGGTCAATGTGACCTTATTTGGAAACAAGGTCTCTGCAGATGGAACTAGTTAAGATGAGGTCAACCTGGAGTGGGGAGGGGGCGGGTCCTAAATTTGATGACAGGTGTCTTTAAAAGAGGACTGTGTGAAGACACAGAGAGGAAAATGCCTTGTGAAGATGGAGGAAGAAATGAGAGTGATGTGGCTATGAGCCAAGGGATGTCAAGGGCTGTAGGCCACTGCCAGAAGCTGTAAGAGGCAAGGAAGGAGCCTCCTGAGAGCCTTTGAGAGAGCACAGCTCTGTTAATCCCTTGATTCTGAACTTCTGGTCTGTAGAATGGTTGAGTGAACACATTTCAGTTGTTCCATACCAGTGTGTGACACTTTGTGATGGCAGCCTACAAAATCAATACAAGGACCCACAAAGGGTGGCCTTGGGTGCCTCCACAGTATAACACCTTTGCAGAGGGTGTGGGAAAAAAAGAAGAATGACTTTTTTTCTTTCCCTTTTCTGAGAACAAAGAAGATAAAGAGAACAGTGAGCAGGCCTGAACGTTCCTAGTTTTTTTTTGTTCCTAACTCCGCATATCTGTAACTAAGTTTGCTTCGCTCCTCTTTTCTTTTGACTCTATGCTAAATACATCCTGATTCTGGTATTTACCCAGACAACACCCTTCCCCTTGTAGTTACATATCAGAAAGAAGGCCACAAGGCCACCGAACTGCCAGACTCAATTACTGGGTTACTGATGCCAGCCTATGACTGTCTTTGAAACAACGCAAGAGGAAGAAATCAAGATCCTAACACATTAGTACCTCATCACCAACTCCTGACTTCGATCTTATATAAGCCCCTAGACTCCTCGTGGAGGTGGGGGTGGGGGCACAGTTCTTGGAGGCACGAGCCTACTGTATTCCCCTCTCTGCCGGCTGAGAATTAAATCCACCTTTCTTTTACCTCCAGACTCTGTGTTGTATTTTTTACTCGGCTTCGGTGGGCAGAGAAGGCCAAGATTTTGGGCAGCAACAGGTGCTGGGTTCTCTTGGGCGCAGCACTAATGTCACTCAGCATCGTTCTCGGGCTCTTGATCAGAGATAGAGACTCCTGCACTAGGAACTGTGCTAACGTGAATGATGAGAGCAAGAGTGTATCATCGAGAGCGATGCTCTCAGAGCATCCTGCTCTGAAAGACCTCTTGTTTGATGGAAGCATTTGATTGACTGCAAACAAAGGCATTTGGGAGGGTGAAGTGACAGGCCACCCTCCCCACCTGCCCTCCTTGTGGCTAAGAAGCAGCTCAATCACATTCACTGGACTATAGGGTTCCTCTTTGCCAGGGTCTGCTCCCAAGACAGCACTCACCAGAGAGCAGCTGTCCTTAGAGCCATCTTTGGATCTGTTCTTTGCCAACCTCTTCTTCTTTTTATGAAGTGGTTTGGATTCAAGAATCATTTCCTCAAGTTCAAATGTGGGATCGCAGTTCAGTCTCCCTTTCTGAAAAGAAGTGGAAAAATAAACACAGTTTGCCTTGGTTCTGCATCACTGATTTATATTTTCATTCATTCATTCAATCACTCATTCAACAAGTAACAATGAGCTACTCCTAGCGGATGAAAGAAAGTTGTGAAAGTGTTAGCCGCTCAGTCGTGTCCAATTCTTTGTGACCCCACAAACTGTAGCCCACCAGGGTCCTCTGTCCATGGAGTTCTCCAGGCAAGGATACTGGAGTGGGTTGCCATTCCCTTTACCAGGGTATCTTTCCAACCCAGAGACTGAACCTGGGTCTCTTGCATTGAAGGTAGACTTTATACCATCTGAACCACCAGGGAAGCCCTCCTAGGGGATATATCTGCTCATTTCTGTCCTGATGATGAACAGTGACCCATCCTCACTGCACACATCGTTCATTTATCCCTGTAATCCCCATCCACCTGTTAATATCCACACGTTTCCTTCATCTTATGTGTGTTCATTCATGAGATTGAGTTCAGTTTACCAATCTGGTATTTTCACGTATTTTCTCATACCCTCCTCCTCATGTCATTACTATCTTTTCCATTAATATAAATATCATTTTTAACAAATCCATTTAAAGATGCCATTTCTAGCCAAAAAGTGAAAGTCACTCAGTCGTGTCTGACTCTTTGCAATCCCAGGGACTGTATAGCCTGCCAGGCTCCTTTCTCCATGGAATTATCCAGGCAAGAATACAGGAGTGGGTAGCCTTTCCCTTCTCCATGGGATCCTCCCAACCCAGGGATTGAACCCAGGTCTCCCGCATGGCAGGTGGATTCTTTACCAGCTGAGACACCAAATCTACACAGTTCTCCATCCTGGCTGCCAGCTGTCCTGCAGCTGAAGCCAGCTGACCCTCGGGCCTGGGGTCTACCTTGGGAGCCTCAAGGCTAGCTCCCCAGCCTCCTTCCTGTTGCTCTCCTTCCATTCATTCTCAACACCCACCTGTCCACTCTACAGTGTAAACCTCACTTTCACCTCCCTGCCAACAGAACTCCAGTGTTGAGAGGGCACAGTCTAAAACCCTTATCATGAAGCCTCCAGGGTGTGGGCTGTGGTCCTTTCCACCCTCATTCCCTACTGTTTTCTTCTGTCTTACTCTGCTCCAGCTATAAAGCCTTCTCACTGTTCTTTGAAAGCTTTTTGCTGCCTGGAAGTGTGTGATCTTAATATTCCCTCTGCCTGGAAAATTCCACCCTATCTTTACAAGCCTGGTTCCTTCACTTGGTTCAGATCTCTGCACCTCTACCTAAAAGCAGCCCCTGCCTCCTCCTCCTTCACTCCGGGCTCTCTCTGTCTTCCTAGCTTGTTCTGTGCGTAGGAATTGGCATCACTTTCTGGTGTCAGGTTACACATTTACTGGTGACTCACTGTCTTCCTCTCATGAGTTTGAGTAAGCTCCAGGAGTTGGTGATGGACAGGGAAGCCTGGCGTGCTGCAGGCCATGGGTCGCAAAGAGTCAGACACAACTGAGCAACTGAACTGAACTGAACCTGGTGTCACGTTATACACTTACTGGTGACTCACTGTCTTCCTCTACCCGACAGGCAGCTTGTGAAAGGGAGGGCTAATTGGCTCCCATTACCCTGCTCTCACCTACCCAGGGCCTGGATCTGTGCACATCGCGGGTGTGATTTAACAAGAAAAAGGAGGCTCTGTGCCCGTGAGGACCCACTACAGGGAGGGACGCTGCCCAACCAGACTGCAGAAATCAGGTCCAAATCCACACGGAATCTCAGTGAAAGGTGATCCCTTTGAAGCTCAAATGATGTGTCTAGCAACCCCCTTGCCCCCTGCCACCTTCTGGGGTGCTCCTGAGCACCCAGGACGGAGACCCTGCAACAGGGCTGGATGTCATAGGGCAGGACCTCACTCACATTGGGCACAAAGCCGGGCGTCAGCGCCTTCTCCAACACCGCATCCCAGTTCATGTCGGCCAAGTAGGGTGCGCTCTGGACGTCCCCAAGGCTGGACAGGCGGCTCTCGGGGTCCTTGGTCAGGAGCTGCAGGCAACGAGCAAACATATGCGGTTGGGCAGTACTGAGGTTAACAGAGCCTCCAAAGGTGGAGTCTTGGGAAAATGAAGGTGCCTCTCCTTCTATGTTCCATGAATATTGTGTACTGTCTGGGCTGCTGTGCGGAAGCATTGTACATGCTCAGTTACTAAGTCATGTCCAACTCTTTGTGACCCCATGGACTATAGCCTCCTCTGTCCATGGTATTTTTCCAGGCAAGAATACTGTAGTGGGTTGCCATTTCTTTCTCCAGGGAATCTTCCTGACCCAGGGATCAAGCCCACATCTCTTGTGTCTCCTGCATTGGCAGGTGGATTCTTGACCGCTGAGCCACCAGGTCTGCTTATTGAAGCCTCACCTACGCTTATACCTGTTTCCAAACTGGGAAAGGAGTACGTCAAGGCTGTATATCATCATCCTGCTTATTTAACTTATATGCAGAGTACATCATGCGAAATGGCGGGCTGGATGAAGCACAAGCTGGAATCAAGATTGCCGGGAGCAATATCAATAACCTCAGATATGCAGATGACACCACCCTTATGGCAGAAAGTGAAGAAGAACTAAAGAGTCTCTTGATGAAAGTGAAAAAGAAGAGTGAAAAAGCTTAAAACTCAACATTCAGAAAACTAAGATCATGACATCTGGTCCCATCACCAACTGCCATCACTTTATGGCAAATAGATGGGGAAACAATGGAAATAGTGAGACTTTGTTTTTTGGGGCTCTAAAATCACTGCAGATGGTGATTGCAGCCATGAAATTAAAAGACACTTGTTCCTTAGAAGAAAAGTTATGACCAATCTAGACAGCATATTAAAAAGCAGAGACATTACTTTGCCAACAAAGGTCAGTCTAGTCAAAGCTATGGTTTTTCCAGTAGTCAGGTATGGATGTGAGAGTTGGACTATAAAGAAAGCTAAGTGCCTGAGAATTGATGCTTTTGAACTGCAGTATTGGAGAAGACTCTTGGGAGTCCTTTGGACTGCAAGGAGATTCAACCAGTCAGTGGTAAAGGAAATCAGTCCTGAATATTCATTGGAAGGACTGATGCTGAAGCTGAAACTCCAATACTTTGGCCACCTGATATGAAGAACTGATTCATTGGAAAAGAGCCTGATGCTGAGAAAGATTGAAGGCAGGAGAAGGGCACGACAGAGGATGAGATGATTGGATGGCGTCACTGACTGGATGGACATGAGTTTGAGCAAGCTCTGGCAGTTGGTGATGAACAGGGAATCCTGGCATGCTGCAGTCCATGGGGTTGCAAAGAGTTGGACATGACTGAGTAACTGAACTGAACTGAAAAATTCATAGGAAAAGTCAGGAGATACCCAATTTCTTAAAGCTCAGTGAGTTAAAACATGATTTGTAAAAATGTTAAAGAACCATATGCATTAAATATTTCTAATTATCAGAAGTTGGTAGCGGAGTGAAAAAAGCCTGAGGGTTTTGTCATCTCAGACTTGACTTCAGGCCACACCCCTCTGTCCAGCGGCTTTGTGATCTTGAAGCGAGATGGTGAGAGCACTTCCGTGAGATGTTAGAAGCCTGCTGACTTTGGTATTTCCACCACTGTCCGTCCATTCGTCCTCTTGTTCCTTAGTCGGCTGGTCTGTTTGTTTCTGCACTCAGTGACCAGCTCCCTGGCCAGGTAGACAGGCAGCTACCCCCTTACCTTCTTTAGCAGGGCGACCATGCCCTTGCACCACATGGAAGAGTAGTGGACGCGCTCCACCTTGAACATGTTAAGGATCTCGTCAATGGGCGTGGCTGAGTGGATTTCATACGGTCTCTGCAACAAGGGACAACAGACAGCATCAGAGACAGCCATCCACATGGTTAAAACAGACACAGAGAACACACCTGTGGTTGCCAAGAGAGATGGGTGTAGGTGAGGGATGGATCGAGAGTTTGGGATTAGAAGATGCATACTATTACATATAGAATGGATAAACAACAAGGTCCTACACTATAGCACTGGTAACTATATTCAATATCCCATGATAAACCATAATGGAAAAGAGTGTATGTATCTATATCTACCCATATCTATATACATATAACTGAATCACTTTGCGGTACAGCAGAAATTAAGACAACATTGTAAATAAATTATAGTTCAACCGTAAAACTTTGGCCACCTGATGTGAAGAGCTAACTCATTGGAAAAGACCTTGATGCTGGGAAAGATTGAGGGCAGGAGGAGAAGGGGACAACAGAGAATGAGAGGGTTGGATGGCATCACTGGCTCAAAGGACGAGAGTCTGAGCAAACTCTGAGAGATACTGAAGGACAGGGAAGCCTGGCGTGTGGCTGCAGTCCATGGGGTCACAGAGAGTTGGACATGACTTAATGACTGGAAAAAAAACAACCACACAAAACTGTGTCATTATAAGGGGTGGTTTTTCTTTCCCTGCAGGTAACAGTGGGTGTTCCAGTTACACGGCTGAGCAGGGGGCCTGGACCCCTGTGTCAACAGTGATCAGCGCAGGAACCCAGTGGGTGGGTGTTCCCTTACAGCCCCAGAAGGGTCAGTGATTGGTGAGGTCACACAGCCAGGATGCGGCAGAGGCAGCACCCATACCCTACAGCCTAACCCCAGAGTCTCTGTTCCAGACCTAGGCCTGCGGAGAGGAGCGGCTTTCACCATCCACAGCCCCCCACCCACTGGCAGGCTTGGCTGCATCTTCCCTGCCCTGGCTGAACAGCCCCATGAGTGAGCAGGGCGGGAATCACCAGGTCTTGGGCTGGTTGGGCGAGGGAGGCAGGGAGGCTGGGCACTGCCACCTGCCATCCTCTCTCCTGCACCAGAAGGATGCCTAAGCCCTGTTCGCCAATTCCCCAGCACAGCAGAGCATTGAACTTTCTGACACGTCATATTGACATTGGAGTGGGCAGATTTTCTTTCTTTTTTTTTTTTGGCCTCCAAACACCTCTCAAAGCTTGGGAAGGCTCCTTTGACCAGGACCTTGGGGAAGTGGCTTGGACAGTGTCTCAACAGCAGCTGACTCACTCTGACTCTCCCTCCACCCCTCTCACCCAAGAACAGCTCTTTCAGAGCCTCTTCTTCACCCTCCCCCTGGCTGTGTGCTCCAGGAAGCTTTCAGGTTTCCATCAGGGTCACATAACCCAGGGCTGGAGCAGGCAACTGTTTCCTAAGCATGTGTGTTTCAATGACTAAACTGATCCTGGAGAAATCTGGAGGAATGAGCTCATTGTTAATCCACGTGACCTTGGTTGGCCAGTATGGAATTCCTGCAAGGCAAAGGGGGGCGGTGCTCCTGGTAGGTGGGATTACAGTACCTCCATTTCTGTGTTCTCAGGGCACTGAGCAGTATCTGTTGCCCAGCGGGTCCCAGAGCACAAGGACAGCAAAGATGATGATCAGATCATCCACAGTTGCTGATGGAACACAGACCGGGAGCCTAAACACCATGCTGGGCTCCCATAGTGCATAAGGGGCCAGCTCCAACCTCATGGAACTTGGATTCCCATGGGGCAGCAGCAACTGGGGAGGGCAACCTGGGAAAGTGAGGGATCCTGAGCCCTGGTTGGGATACAATTCCCTGGAAGGAAGTGTCTGTCTCTCTACCAAATGCGGCCCCTCTGTGGAAGATGCCTGCCGACATGGGTCCACTGTGCCTTCTGATATATCCACCCAGAAAGGGGCCTCTTCCTGACTGCCTGCCTCCTCTCTCATCTGTTTCACTGAATTGGGAACCTCCCTTCCACCCAACAGGGCAAAATCCCAAACTGTGAGCTCCCTGTGTGTGTGTCCACTTTGCGACCCCTACAGTCCTGGCGGGACTGTAGCCTGTCAGGCTCCTCTGTCTATGGAATTCTCCAGGCAAGAATACTGGAGTGGGTTGCCATGCCCTCCTCCAGGGGATCTTCCTGACCCAGGGATTGAACCGGGGTCTCCTGCATTGCAGGCGGATTCTTTACCATCTGGGCCACCAGGGAAGCCTGTGGACTCCTTAGAAAGTCTAATTAGCTTGCTACACTAACATCCTTTAAATCTGGCTTCAAACATTTTTGAATTTAATAAGAAGTGGAGTGCATTTTCAGTTTCAGAATTTCTACCCAAAGCCGCTGCCTGCTTTCATGTTGCAGGATCCCTTTGCGTTTTGCTAGGAACCACCATCACGATTAGAAACGAGAGTGAATGTTCACTGAGAGCATCTGGGATGTGACACAAAGCTCCCAGCATCTCCATGAGGTGGCTGCTGTGAATGTGACCACTTGTGCTTCCCAGGTGGCGCTAGAGGTAAAGAACCCACCTGCCAATGCAGGAGACACAGGAGACCTGGGTTCCATCCCTGAGTCGGGAAGATCCCTTGGAGGAGGGCCTGGCAAGCCAATCCAGTATCCTTGCCTACAGGATCCCATGGACAGAGGAGCCTGGCAGGCTACAGTCCATAAGGTCGAAAAGAGTTGGACACGACTGAGGCGACTTAGCACGCACACACGATATGACCACTTTATAGCAGACGAGCCAGAGGCCCCAAGCTCCAGAGCTAGGATGTGATAGAATCGATGTTAAAGCGCAGGCAGTATCAGACCCCAGCTCACCTCTGAGCGCCACTGTCGCAGAGGGAATTGTGTCCCTCAAGCTTGTATGTTCAAGTCCAAATCCCAGCACCTCAGAAGGTGGCCTTGTTTGGAGATAGGGTGTTTACAGAGGGGATCAAGTTCACACGAGATCATTAAGAGGGACTCCAATTCATTATGACTGGTGTCCTTGTAAGCAGGGGAAACCCTAGAAAAAGGGGACCCTAGGACTCAGGGAGATAGACATAGAGGGGACACCATGCAAGAAGACACAGGGAGAAGACGGCCGTCTATGAGCAAGGAAGGAGCACCTTGATGAGAGGTATAAAGGGGCAGCTTCCTTCACGGCCCTCAGGAGGAGTCAGCCCTGAAGACACCTTGAACTTGGGCTTCTAGCCCCCAGAGCCACGAGAGAACAGGCGTCTATTGTTTAAGCCACCCGGTCTGTCGGACTTGGTCACAATAGCCCGATCAGACTAAGACCATTACCCTGGCCGTCCTCAGGCAGAGTTCTGGGGAAGGTGTCTGACTTCTGCTTTGTTCTGGGAGGTGTCGGCGCTCTGTGTAGACCAGGCCCCTGGTGTGAGCAGGCAGACAGGGTCCCGACCCCTCTCAGCTCTTCATCTTGGAAAAGACGGCAGTGAGGGGTTTCGGGTGTGGGGTGCGTGCGGGGGGGGGGTGGTCCCTACAGTGGGTGCTGGGTGCATAGAAGGGGTGGGGGGGGTGCTTCCTTAGTGCGGGAGGGGGTTCAGAAAACCAGAGTTCAGGCCACCACCTGAAGACCGGCCTTCAGGGGTTGAGACTCTGGTTTCTGAACTCTTCAGGATCGTTTCAGGATCACTTCTTCCCATCTTTTTGCCTCTCAAAAGGCTATTTCTCTGACTCCGGTCCCAGACCCACCCTGGTAACCCAGCTACTGCAGGTGTCAGGGTGCTGGCTCACCTCTTCATTTTTAAAGTTTGGGAAACTGAGGTTGAGAGACAAAAAATGACTTTCCCAACGTCCCAGAGACACAGATTCTCCTTCACGGCTCTTTCCACCAGAGCCTGGAACTCAAGCACCCAACTGGAGAATGAGCCAGCTACAAGCGCAAAGACTTCTGTTATCATTTACGCTTCATTCTGCTTCCTACTTGGTTACTTCAAGGCATCCATGAATTCTACTTGCCCCCCAGGCCCCCCAAAGAGCCTCTCTCTCTCTCCCCCCACTTCTCGAGGGAACCAGACCAATAAAAATAACAATAATGAGAACAGTAGTAACTACAGTTAGCCATGAGGCTGATAGAGCAGTTAAATACTTTTGGAAACGCATTTGGAAACTATGACTAAAATCTGCACTGCATCTTGAAGTTCCAGGCTCAGCCTTGATCTTTTTGGTGGTTGTGGAGAAACCTGGGCCCTTCGACAAGAATATTGTTCAATATTAAGATCAATATTCCATCGGCGTGTGGTCAAGAGTTCTCCTGAGTCTTGGTCTCACTCATTGGTCTTAGGATGTGCTGACTTAGAAAACTGAGTGGTATTTATGAAAGTGAAAGTGTTAGACGCTCTGTCGTATCTGACTCTTTGCACCCCATGGACGGTAGCCCGCCAGGCTCTACTGTCCGTGGAATTCTCCAGGCAAGAATGCTGGAGTGGGTAGCCATTCCTTTCTCCAGGGGATCTTCCCGACCCAGGGATCAGACCTGGGATTCTTGCACTGCACCAGGGAAGCCAGTGGTATTTTTAAGGTGAAATAATTACCTGTTCAGCTGGTGAAAGTGATTTTGGCAGCAGGGTACCAGATAGACTCATTATGGAGTACAAGTGTGTCTATTCCAGGAAACCCAGTTTACAAAAATTCCAATTTACCAAGAAACAGAAGAAACAGGAAAAGAATTGCCATAGACCTGTTATTTTAACTGCTAGAGCTGAGCTGGGCCTTGGGGACCATCTCCTCCAATTTTTTCCCCTCAAATCTTTTTGCTCAAAATCCAAAACATAGAACAGATGCAAGTGAAGAACAGTTCCCCAGGTTGCTTAAACCTCCAGCAGCTGGAGAAATCTTTTTTCCCCTATGAACTGTCGAATCATTCCTGCAGGGTCCTTTACTTTCAGGAAGCACAGCTTGAAAATCCCTTGCTTTATGGAAACTGGAGGGGCAAGGTCAGAGAGTTCATTTTACCCCAGGTTTCAAACTCCCAGCTCAGCAATCTCTCTGCTTTACAGAGACAGGAAGGCAATGCTCAACTCAAGGGCTGCCTCTCTCACTTCGTTGGGTTAATACACCAACAGATGCTCGTCTCTGTGGTTGAGCCCACCATTTGTTGTGCATCCAGAGGTTCTTAGTTCTGCTGCAAACTGTAGGATCTCCATGCATGTGTGCGTGTGTGCTCAGTCGCTTCAGCCACGTCTGACCCTTGGCAATCCTATAGACTGTAGCCCGCCAGGCTCTTCTGTCCATGGAATCGTCCAGGCAAGAATACTGGAGTGGGCAGCCAGTCCCTTCTCTGGGGAGTCTTCCTGATTCAGGGATCGAACCTGGGTCTCCTGCATTGCAGGCAGATTCTTTACCCACAGAGAAACCTGGGAAACCTTAGGATCTCCATAACCCTCTGGCTTAAGCACCATGCTGTCCCTTCCACGGATGGCTCTGCACTTCCTACAGAGTGAAGCCAGCACCTCCAGGTGACCTCACGGTCCTTTCTAGAAAGTCCCCCGACTGTCCTTCTGACTGCTGGTCAGTCTAAAATTCTGCTGTGTCAGCCGCAGCTGCCCTTCTTGGGCAGCACTGTCTCTGTATCCACCTGCCTCTGAATCATCACCACATGAACATTTATGCAGCAATCAGAGCCCTCCTGTGTGCTGGACACTGCCTATGCGCCGCCCACATTTTTTTCCGGAATCGCCTTGGTGACCTCCCTGCCCCCCGGCTGACCTTATCATCCCCATTTCAGGAAGGAGGAAGTCAGGGCTCAGAGGAGTCAAGTGACCAAAGTAGAATCACAGCCCTCAAGGTGCACATTTTATTTTGAAGCCCTTGAGGCTTTCTTCCAAGTCATCATCTTTAACTGTTTTAATCCAAGTTTTTTTTAAAAAAAAAAAAAAAAACTTTTTATTAAGAATCTGCCTGCTAATGTAGGAGACACAGTTTCGATCCTTGTCCCCAGAGAAGGAAATGGCAGCCCACTAGGGTATTCTTGCCTGGAGAATCCTATGGACAGAGGAGCCTGTTGGGCTATAGTCCATGTTACAAGAGGCAGACATGACTTAGGGGCTAAACAACAACAAATGGCTGATTAATAATGTTGGGATATTTTCAAGTGAATAGCAAAGGGATTCAGCCATTTATACACATGTATCCATTCTCCAACAAAGGTCCGTCTGATCAAGGCTATGGTTTTTCCAGTGGTCATGTATGGATGTGAGAGCTGGACTGTGAAGAAAGCTGAGTGCCAAAAAATTGATGCTTTTGAATGGTGGTATTGGAGAAGACTCTTGAAAGAGTCCCTTGGACTGCAAGGAGATCCAACCAGTCCATCCTAAAGGAGATCAGTCCTGGGTATTCATTGGAAGGACTGATGCTGAAGCTGAAACTCCAATCCTTTGGCCACCTCATGGGAAGAGTTGACTCATTGGAAAAGACCCTGATGCTGGCAGGGATTGGGGGCAGGAGGAGAAGGGGACGACAGAGGATGAGATGGCTGGATGGCATCACTGACTCGATGGACATGAGTTTGAGTAAACTCCAGGAGTTTGTGGACAGGGAGGCCTGGCGTGCTGCGATTCATGGGGTCGCAAAGAGTCGGACATGACTGAGCGACTGAACTGAACCATTCTCCCCCAAACTCCCCTTCCATGTAGCCTGCCATAACATTGAGCAGAGTTCCATATACCATACAAGTAGATCCTTGTTGGTTATCCATTTTAAATATAGTAGTGCGTACATGTCCATCCCAAACTCTCTAACTATCCCTTCCCCTCATTCTTCTCTCTGGCAGTCATAAGTTGTTCTCAAAGTCTGTGAATCTGTTTTTTAAGTATGTTAATTTGTATCAATTTTTTTTTGATTCCACATATGTGATGTCATATGATATTTCTCCTTCTCTGACTTATTTCACTCAGTATGACTATCTCTACTGACCCATAATCTGACAAAGAATATACTTTCTGCTGGCAAGCAACCAATCACACTTAGGTGAATTGCTTGCCAAGGTCATTTGTATGACTGATTACATCATAAACAGCATCTAGTGATGACTGTGTCCTCTGGTTCATACAAATACCATGGGGACCCTCATGTTCCCTCCCTGAGTGTGTATATCAAAGAACCAGTACATGACAAAGGAACTGACCAGGAATAGGTAAGCCTGTGTGCATGCGTGCTCATTCACTTCAGACGTGTGTGATTCTTTTTGACCCTGTGGACTATAGCCCATTAGGATCCTCTGTCCAGCGGATTCTCCAGGGAAGAATACTAGAGTGGGTTACCATGCCCTCCTCCAGGGGATCTTCCCGACCCAAGGACTGAACCTGCGACTCCTGCATTCTACTTGTGGGGAGAGGGATGTCGAGGGGAAGGGTCTCTTGCAAAGCTCAGCTGTGGATCAGTGGCAGCTCAAGAATCAGGCAGATTCTTTACCCACTGAGCCACCAGGAGAGCCCATAGGTAAGCCTGCAGGAGATAGTTTTCATTCAGTGCCTGAGAAAACCCACAAGATCTCATATATATTTTTTGCATTCTTAAAAAACCATGTGCCATAATATGTTTTTTGAGGAACTCAGGGGAAATAATTGAGATCAACAGCAGAGAACAGTTGCTTGAACCACACGGTGATAGTGAATCACATAGCTTGGATGGTTTTCACACAGCTGTCATCATTCATTCATTCCCATCCCTCATCCCCCTGCACTGGGAGCCCCCGCCCTGGAAGGGCGCTGACTACCAGCTTAAACATGCAGATGACTGTGAGACAACGTTAAAAGAGCAGCCAGTGATGGGAACTCACTCTCCACAGCTGTGCGCTGGGTGCAGACCTATAAGGTGTCATTGTTGTGTTGTTCAGTCACTAAGTTGTGCCCGACTCTGATGCTGAAAGATGACTAATACGAAAGCCGTGTGTCCCAGCTGGGCACAGCGATCCTGGGATAACTTCAGTGCACAGAATAGGATGAAAGGATGTTATTATCCTCATTGTATAAGGGGGAAACCATGGTCCTGAGAGGCTAAGTGGCATCCTTTTCAAATGATATTTGTATAGAGAAAATATGCCTCCAAATTAGTTTGACATAATTCTTCCTGCTAAAATAAAACTGAGCTATTAGTTGCTAAAGAGTTCACTTAGTCATGTTCAGCTATTACATTTAAATGAAATAAAACAGAAATGTGCACTGAATGCCCCACTTTTATAGGACACAGCTAAGTATTCGGGGAAGATTGGGACAAAATAACAACAGCAAAAAACAAGCAGAAGAGTCTGATCGGGCACGAGTGCCTGATATTGTGGGTTGAAATCGTGAGATTGGGGTGATTTGGGTGTTTGAGCTGGCACTGATCCGTGGCTGAGCTTCGCAAGAGACCCTTCCCCTCGACATCCCTCTCCCCACAAGTAGAATGAGGGGCTGGACCAGAGGCTTGTTAAGAGCTTTTCAACACTCAAGACCGTGGAGCTGGCACATGGGCCATCAGGACAGACACCCAGGGCTCCTTGCCAGCACGGTGCACCATCCATGGGACATGGCCATCTGACTCTACCCAAGCCTGGGAGGACCTGAGCGCCCCCTTCCATAGTCCGCATGTTCACTATGCAGACACATCTTACCCAGCCCCGCAGCAGCTCGTAGGCAGTGACACCCAGGGACCACCAGTCAACGGGATAGGAGTAGCCAGGGCCTCCGTCCACATACACCTGGAACACTTCCGGGGCTGCCAAAGACAGGACAAAAGACATCACTGGGCATCTCATTTGACATGCATCATGCCCAAGAAGGAGGACACAGGGCCAGGAGCTGAACTGCGAGGCTAGCATTCCATCGATGATGCTATGTAGTTACTACCGTCTGTGAGTCAGAAGCCAGCTTGAGACAAGGTGCAGGCATGGCAGGAAACCCCATGTGACACCTGGGACAGAATACAGACGGGGCACCCCGAGGGCGCAGCAGAGGGTGTTCTGCTGGGGAGTCAGGGAAAGCAGCGGGGAGGAGGATTTGGTGCAACAGGAATCATGGTCAGCACGGGGAATAAAGTCTGAGTTAAGAGGAGGAGCCTGCGCCCCTGTTACGGAGCAGGATTCTGTGGGGCTCCTGGGCACAAAGACTCTCTGTGTCCGCCGCTTCTTTGATGACAGGAAATAAGCTTCACTCAGAGTGTATGACCTTCCCTTAGCTCCAACCTGTAGTTTGAAACAGATGTGAAGCAAGGATGGGAGGGGATGCAGAGACAAGGGAGGAACAGACAAGAAACAATAGTGCAGCCTTGGGGCAGAGTCCTGGTCCCCTCCCAAGCAATACACATAGCAACATTTTTGAACTCTTCTGCAGATACCGAAACCCCCATCAGGTGGGAGAAATTAAGGGTTTGATGTGCTGTGCTAAGTAGCTCCCGTCGTGTCGGCCTCTTTGCAACCCTATGGACTGTAGCCTGCCAGGCTCCTCTGTCCATAGGATTCTCCAGGCAAGAAATACTGGAGTGGATTGCCATGCCCTCCTCCAGGGGATCTTCCCAACCCAGGGATCAAACCTGCGCCTCTTACATCTTCTGCACTGGCAGGGAGGTTCTTTACCATTAGCACCACCTGGGAAGCTCCAAGGTTCTGATGCCCACAAGCAAGTAGACCCCAGACTGGTTAGAACCAGAAGGTGGATGATGCAGACTCTCACTTACCTCACCAATAACCAATCAGAAAAATGTCCATGAGCTGATCATCCTCTTTGAAGCATTACTATAAGACCCCTCATTACCCCCTTCAGGTGGGGACACACAGCTTTGAGGGCATTTTCTTGCTGTGGCCCCCTTTGCCTAGAAAAGCAATTTGTTGTTGTTGCTGTTGCTGAGTTGTGTCTGACTCTTTGCAACTCCATGGACTGCAGCCACCAGGCTTCCTTGATTTTCACTATCTCCTGGAGTTTGCTCAAATTCATATCCATTGAATCGGTGATGTTATCTAATCATTCCATCCTCTGCCACCCCATTCTCCTTTTGCCTTCAGTCTTTCCTAGTATCAGGATCTTTTCCAATGAGTTGGCTCTTCGCATCAGGTGGCCAAAGTATTGGAGCTTCAGGTTGAGCATCAGTCCTTCCAATGAATATTCAGGACTGATTTCCTTGAGAATCGACTGATTTGATCTCTTTGTTGTCCAAGGGACTCTCAAGAGTTTTGCCCAGCACCACCATTCAAAAGCATGAATTCTTTGGTGCTCAGCCTTCTGGTCCAACTCTCACATCTGTACATGATTACTGGAAAAATTATAGTTTGGACTATATGGATCTTTGTCAGCAAAGTGATGCCTCTGCTTCCTAATACACTGTCTAGGTTTGTCATAGGTTTACTTCCAAGGGCCAAGCATCTTTTAATTTCATGGCTGAAGTCACCATCTGCAATGATTTTGGAGCCCAAGAAAATAATATCTGTCATTGTGTCCACTTTTCCCCCTTCTATTTGCCATGACGTGATGGGACCAGATGCCATGATCTTAGTTTTGTGAATGTTAAGTTTTAAGCCAGCTTTTTCCACTCTCCTCTTTCCCAGTAATCAAGAAGCTCTTTAGTTTCTCTTCACTTTCTTCCCTTAGAGTGCTATCATCTGTATATCGGAGGTTGTGTTATTTCTCCCGGCAATCCTGATTCTAACTTGTGATTCATCCAGTAAAGCAGTAAAGCTCTTCTTTCCTACTTCACCCAAAACTCTGTCTCTGAGATTTAACTTGGTGTTGGGGTACAGAGGCCAGATTCGGTTCACTCCTAAGGGGCTGAGAAGCTAGGTAAATGTCAGTCTGCTTTGGCACCAACACCGGGTCAGATGTCCCAACAACCAGAACGGTTAAAGCCCTTGGTGCCTAGTGCCAGTCTCAGGGTAACATTATTTTAGCATAGGTGGGAATCAATGTTAAACACCCAGAATAAGTAAATGCACAGAGACAGAAGGCCGATCACGGGCTGTCAGGGGCTGGCGGGGGGATGGGGCACAACTGCTTCTCGGATTTCCTCCGGGATAACGAATGTTCTTGAGCTAGACAGAGCTGGCGGCTACACAACGTGGTGAATGTACTAAATGCCACTGTTTGCTTGCCAACATTTCATTTTACATTATGTGAATTTTACCTCTGTAATAAACCAGTGGAGGGTGGAGCCCCCAGAGGGATGGACCCTCACTCCTCAGGGGGCTGCAGCTGTCCTGAGGTCCTCTGGGGTCCTGCTGCTTCCTAAGCTGCTGGGAGGTGGGTTCATCACTGCCTCACCCCCGACTCCCCAGGCCAGGAGTGCGTCTCAAGCTTTAATTGTTTATACTGGCTTCCAGCAAAGTCTTGGAAAATGCAGGACATTTCTAGAAAATTAATTTACAGATGAAATTCCATTTTACAGGTGTCAGAGCAGCCAAGCTCTGTCATGGGGAACCAGAACATGTTGTGATTAAACACATCTCGAATTGGTTTTCAGACTGGCATTTAGACAGCTTGGGGGCAGGAAGGGCCAGAGGAGGTAGACAACGACGCCTGAATCTGGGTTCTAGATGGGCAGCTGGACACTTGAACCTGTTGATGTTCAGTCACTCAGTCGTGTCTGACTCTGGGACCCCATGGACTGCAGCACGCCAGGCTTTCCTGTCCTCCACCATCTCCCGAAGCTTGCTCAAACTCAAGTCCATTGAGACAGTGATGCCATCCAACCATCTCATCCTCTGTCGTGCCCTTCTCCTGCCTTCAATCTTTCCCAGCATCAGGCTCTTTTCCAGTGAGTCAGTTCTTCGCATTAGGTGGCCAAAGTATTGGAGCTTCAGCTTCAGCATCAGTCTTTCCAATGAATATTCAGGACTGATCTCCTGTAGGATGGACTGGCTGGATCTCCTTGCAGTCTAAGGGACTCTCAAGAGTCTTCTCCAACACCACAGTTCAAAAGCATCAATTCTTCAGTGCTCAGCTTTCTTTATGGTCCAACTCTTACCATCAATGAACCTGACCCTCGGCCAAATTCCAGCTGCCCTCCAGCGACCCGCTCCATTTATTTTGTATTTTGTAGCAATTGCACACAAAGATTCTCCTTTCCTCCTCACGGCAACCCCCAGGGTCATATTATCATTTGACACACTTTACCGAAGAGGTTCAGAGAGGGACGGCAGAGCACCTGAAGTCGCAGCAGAGAAGTGCAGAGTGAGGTGCGCCTCACATGCTGGTCAAATTCCCGTTTGAAGTAAGCTTTGCATCAACCTTTGGGTACAAAACCATAATCAGTCTACATTGGGGAAGATATTAGGAGCTCGAGGAAATGTCATTTTCGTTTATTTGAGCCTCACCAAGTGGAGTGTGTGCTGGGGAACAGGAAGAAGGTTGGTGTGATTGCAGCTGGGTTAACACGTTATCTTTGCTTCAGTTTGTAAAGCATGAGCAATAATAAACAGTCTATTCACAGGGTTCTTATGAGGATTAAGGAAAAAGGCTGGCTAAGAGCTAAGCCCGATGCCAGACTGGCCCATTGTGAGTGCTCTGGAAATCTTGGGCATGGCTTTTATTAGTAGAATTGTCATTCAGACGTCCTCTCTTCATCAAACTCAGCTTCTCACTGTCCACCAAGTCAGCCTGGGGACCATCCTAAATTCCATCCTCCTCAGCCTCATGACGCATCAGTCTCCTGATGCTCGGCCCCTGAGCTTGGCGTTCTGAGCATCTTTCCATCTGCCCCTTCCTATCTATCCTAGACCAACCTGAATTCAAAGGTGGTAGCTGTACCTGTTTAGTAAACATCTGGTGAGCGAACGTTTGATTTCCTAGCCTCTCCGGGCACTGAGCTGTGCTATTCTGCATCCTGCCCTGGGAGCCTGAGGCTGGGCTCTAACCCAGAGGGGCTTCCTTCCCTGCACCCCAATCTGTGTACTTGGCCTTCTTCCCTCTGTGTGAAGTGTTCTGATAAAGAAGGAGACAGTTGTGATGGTCTGTGCAGAACCAGGACTTTGACAGCTGCTGGCCCGGCCCACGTGCTCAGACAGGGCCAGAGGCAGGGATACGCCCAGGACTACAGTAGAAGCTGTGTGTCCAGCTGTCCCCATAAAGCCTTGTCATGCCTGGCTGCCCCAAGCCCATCTGGAATTTAGGGAAGAAGCAGCATCTGACCAGTTCTGTCCTGACTGTCCCGACCAGCCAAGTGACAAATATCTGCTGCCTGTGACTCCACTCCCAGAGAAGGTGACAGTCTCCCTTCCCCTTCACACCTGGGGCTGAAAGAACATAAACAACATTTATGTGACAACCCATAAGCCACCAAAATGACTGCTGTAGTGCCCTGGAACCAGTGCTTAGAAGTGAGGGCATCATAGAGGGTTAGAACTTGGACAGGTACAAGACACACACCTGTCACCATTATTTCATGTATGAATGGATGAGTGTGGAAACTGTTTGCCAGGTGCTGTGTTGAGGATTTTACACATCCAGCTCCCTTCATCCTCACAGTCACCCAATAAAAACCAGTGCTACAATGATCTCCACATTCCAGATGAGGAGGTAGAGACATGAAGGGGTGTAGTTGGGTGAATGAAAGTGAAAATGTTAGTTGCTCAGTCATGTCTGACTCCCTGTGAGCCCACGGACTGTAGCTCACCAGGCTCCTCTGGCCATGGACTTCTCCATGCAAAAATACTGGAGTGAGTAGCCATTCCTTTCTTCAGGGGATCTTCCTGATCCAGGGATCCAACCCAGATCTCCCACCTTGCAGGCAGA